TTATAATAAACTAATGATTAGTCACATCAGTTGACTAGGATAAATGCTAATTACATTTTAAATGTTATACATAAATGTAATTAATCTACACTTAATCTATAGATATCACAGACGCGAAATATCGGGCGTTGGGCGCCGCCCGCCGTAGGTATGATACCCAAAAAAAAAAAACAAACACAAAAAAAAGAAATGGAACTACAGATTGTGATCCTTTTCGTCTCGATCAGCGATCGGAAGGAGACACAATTTGTGGATCGGTCGTCGAAAGGTAGAGGTAGCAGTCCTCACCTCGCAAACGCGGATCAACCCATCTTCACTCGGGAAGCACTGTGTTATACGCCCTAATTCCCATCTAGAGGGTGGAGCATTGTCATCCTTAATGATGACAATATCACCCACGTTTAAATTTGCGCGCTGATTGTGCCATTTATTGCGCTTCTGCAGAGAGTTAAGAAAATCCAAGCGCCAAACCTGCCAAAATCGGTCTCGCATCCGCTGAACGAGTTGATATCTCGTCAATCTCGATTCCGGACGATCTAGTAGCAAAGCATCAGGCAACGCAAGAAGTGGAGCGCCGGTCAAGAAGTGACCGGGAGTCAAATACGATAGATCGTCTGGGGAATTCGAGAGTCCAGCGATCGGTCGCGAATTTAGGCAGGCCTCTATTTGACACAACAGTGTCTCTAATTCGGCAATGGTTAGCGTATGTACGCCAACTATACGCTTTAAGTGGTGCTTGACCGACTTTACTCCAGCTTCCCAAATCCCGCCAAAGTGTGGAGCGGAGGCTGGAATAAAGCGCCATTCTATGCCTAACGAGGCCATAGATGATTCGACGGCACCATCGCACATACTAGCGTGAAAAATACGGTATAATTCCGTCTGCGCGCCACGGAAATTGGTTCCGTTATCGCTTAATACAATCGCAGGAATACCGCGGCGTGAACAAAATCGTCGAAAGGCGGCGATGAATGCTGCGGAAGACAGATCGGTAACGAGTTCTATGTGCACGGCACGGGTTATCAAGCACACGAAAAGGGCTATATAGGCCTTACGGGATTGATGACCACGTCCGGCGAAGGCGCGCACTGGCAAGGGTCCGGCATAATCTACCCCGACTTTCAAAAACGGACGCGCCACATTAGTTCGTATCTCGGGCAAATGAGCCATTTTCTGACTGCTCAAATTTGCACGATGTCGAGAGCAGATGACACACTGACCAATAACCGATCGTACAATTATTTTTGCTCGGAGTATCCAGTACTCCTCTCGGAGTAGACGTAATGTTAACGACGTTCCCCCATGGAGAGTGCGTAAATGTGCATCACGCACTATTATACGCGTCAGAGGAGTTTGGCTCAGGATTACTGGATGCTTCTGAGCGAATGTCAATGGAGCGTGCATCAATCTGCCTCCCATACGAATAATTCCGTCATCATCAATGAACGGATCCAAAGAAAGTAGCGAACTCGAACGTGGCAATCTTTGCTCGGCTCGCAATAAATGAAGTTCGGTCGCATATAACGACGACTGTATGACCTTGATCCAAAAGGTTTTGGCTTCCGTCATCAACCGCGTAGTGTATAAAAGTTCCGTACATGGAAGCTGTCGTCGTGTCAGTTTCACGAAGCGTAAAATTAACGCAGTTATCTTGAGCAGTTTGCTCCAATCAGAATAGCGAGTGGACAGATCCCACTCGGAGACATTGGTGACGTGAGTGACGACTGACCGTGCCTCAAGGTCAGAAGTCGGCAGACTATCAGAAGAGTCGACAGAGGGCCACTCTTGGGGCTCACAGGAGAGCCACGAGGGCCCGTACCACCATAGTGGATTTTTGATCAATTGAGTCGGAGAGACTCCACGAGAAGCTAAGTCCGCAGGGTTGTCCTGCGTAGGAACATGACGCCAACTTGCCTGAGGACATTGCGTTTGGATGAGAGACACCCGATTCGCCACGAATACTTTCCATGTGGCCGGAGACTTGCTAAGCCAGGCCAATGCGACGGTGGAATCCGTCCAAGCGTAAATGGGGACCTGCTCAAGGTTCAACGCAGAAATGGTCCAAGCAAGGAGCCGTGATAAGAGTTCGGCCGCACAGAGCTCCAAACGAGGAACCGAGACCGTTTTCAACGGAGCAACCTTGCTCTTACTTGTTAGCAAGAAAACTTGTGGCTCGAATTTATGGATCACTCGAAGGTAGATCACGGCTGCGTAAGCGGCCTGGGACGCATCCGCGAACCCATGGATCTCGATACTTGAGTCCTCGCGGGAGTGCACCCAGCGCGGGATACAAACAGTAGCAAGCGAGATGAGTCCGTGGCAAAAAGAGATGCACCTTTCATTCAGGTCCGACGGTAGTGTCGTGTCCCAGTCGATCCTAGACAGCCACAATTGTTGAATAAGGATCTTACCGATAATAATGACAGGCGACAACCAACCTAATGGATCGTAGATTCTCGATATATACGAGAGAAAGGTGCGTTTTGTTATATGCGACGGAACTTCTGCACAAATACGAAAACTAAAAGCATCCTCCAATGGTGCCCAATATATGCCAAGGATTTTTAATTGATCATCCTCTTTAAAATCTACGTTTTGTGCAGGATCGCGAATCGTTTCGGATAAATCGGAGATTAAATCCGGACAATTGGAACTCCATTTGTGTAGAGGAAACCCGCCCGCGTTGGTCAGTCCTATCATCTGCTCTCGAATCTCGCGACATTCTTCTATCTCCGACGCGCCAAAAAATATATCGTCAACATATGAATTGAATATGACGTTATGCGCAGCCAGAGGGAAACGATGCTTCTCGTCCTCTGCTAACTGCCGCAAGACGCGCAATGCTAAAAAGGGCGCAGGAGCGGTGCCGTAAGTTACCGTCCGTAACCGATACGGAATTACCGCGTCTTTCTCCGATTGCCTCCAGAGAATTAATTGAAAACGCGTATGATCATCGTGCACGCGAATTTGCCGAAACATCTTCGCAATATCGGCGGCACACACAAACCGGTGCCAGCGCCAACGTAACAAAATGGCACATAGATCAGTCTGCAATTTTGGTCCAATAAGGAGGCAGTCGTTGAGAGACTTTCCATTGCCAGTGCGCGCAGACGCGTTAAATACAACCCTTACCTTCGTCGAAGTGCTACTTGGCTTTAATACCGGATGATGCGGTATAAAGCATCGCTGCTCCTCGACATCCGTGGGCGTATACGGACTCATATGTCCTAATCTTAAATATTCATTTAAGAAATCATTATATTCGACAGCTAACTGTCGATCCTTTTTCAAACGACGCTCCAAAGACGCATACATACGGAGCGAATTTTTGTGAGAATCCCCAATATCAATTGGAAGATTCCCCTTAAACGGCAACGCGACATTGTACCTTCCTGACGTATCACGATTAGTAGTCGCGACGGTCCTCGCAATATTGATCCTCAGCGGATAACTGGGTCTGCGAAGGAATCTCCTCAACCTCCCAAAAGCGCTCGATCGCACGAGTCAAATCAGTATTAGGGGTCACGTGTAATGACGAAATAGTCGTATGCGACGACGATACATTGACAGGACCGTCGTCCACCGGACCGCGCAGCACCCACCCGAATCGCGAATGAATAGCATACGGCTCTCCGGGAAACTTCACCCGATCCTGAAGTATTATTTCGTCATAACAATCGGCACCGAGTATTAAGTCGATCGGCTTATCACTGCAGGGGTCGGGGTCGGCCAATGTCAGTTGTCCGACGCCGGTCCACTCAGAAGCCTTAACAAATCGTCGCGGAACATAATTAGAAAGCCGAGATAAAATAAGAGGCTCGATCACGACTACAAGCTGAGACTTATTTCGTGATCGTAGCTCAACGCGGGTGGAGTGCTTCACGACCCCGGAGACGGTGGCGCCAGTACCTGAAATTGAAGCAGAGCACGCAATTCTTTGCACGCGTAACGCTTGAGCAGCTGCTTCAGATATTAACGAGCACTCGGAGCCAGAATCTATGACTGCGCGAAATGGCAGTTCACGACCTTCAGCCGTACGCACGTGTACCCACGCTGTCGCAATTAACACCGGCCTTAACGTTTTTGACTTGGCGACTCCCGAATGACAGGAAGTTACATTAGATAACTTCGCGTGATCGTTACTCGAAACGGAAGTAACCGCGTTACTGTTTATTGACTCGGGATCCGATGTACGCGGTGAGAATGCTTGATGAAGCATTTTATGATGCCGCTTCTTACACTTATCGCAACCCGGTTTGTTTTTACAGCTCGGCGGAAAATGACCTTTAGCGAGACAATTAAAGCATAAATGCGCCGCTCGGGCGGAATCTAAACGTTCGCTCGCAGACATGACCTTGAATTTCGCGCACTTCGATATGTTATGAGCCGCGGAGCACAAATGACAAACAGAAGTATTGGTGTTCGCAACGTGCGAAGTGACCTTAGAGTCAACACCGTTTTTATGTTTTGAATTTTTCGTTACGGCATTGTCGTTCAGGCATGTGACTCCGCTTTTAATCGACGCAACATTTAAAGCGTGTACTTTACCGTTCAGAAATTGCTCAAGTTCGTCATAATTTGGAAATGTTTCTCTCTTACCGATGTTCTCTTCCCAACTCTTTCGAATCGTCGGGTCCAGACGCATAAGCGTCATAACAACTAATATGGAATCCCACGATAATTGATTCAAGTTTTCGAGAGAGACAAGTATTTCGCGAGTTTGATTAACTAGAGTCTCTAACGCGGCCGGACTATCGCCGCTTACGGGCCTAAGTTTTAATAACCGAACTATAAGAGAAAAAGTCAAAACTTGAATATCTTGATAATGATCATTAATTAATTTCCAAGCCGATTCGAAATTTGCATCGGTAATCGGTAAATTTTTAATCAACGACAATGCCGTACCGGTCAAACAACTTTTAAGATAATAAAACTTCTGTACGTTAGACAGTCCAGACTCACGGACGACCATCGAGTCAAACATGTCTCGAAAGTGGGCCCAGTCCTTCTGATCTCCGTTGAAGGTCGGCAGAGGGATGCGCTCGAGACTGGTGAACCTCGAAGTCGACGATGCGTCGGCAGCGTCCCTCCTAATTGACGATGTCGAAGGCATGTTGCTCTGCAAGGCGGTGAGCGCGTCCGTCGCATCAAGAACTCGATCCTCCATGTCACCAAATTCGGTACCTTTGAGATAGTCACTGACGTCCGGATCAATCGAATATGCCGTTAACTCCTCGTGATTGCATCGACATTTGGCCCATAGCTGCGTTAACGTTTGGAGTTTCGTCGAGACTGTAATGGAGGCGGACGTTTCAGTGAGCCTCACAGCCGAATTGCACGTGCGATGAATAGATCGCAAATATTCTCTTTGTACAACGAGCAACGCTATAATGCTGCCCTGAGAACGAGTACGATTTCTCGATTGGTCCGTCGGTAACTTGAGCGTATCTCCAGGCATGATGACGTCACAGTTTATCACTTCACGGCCGAAGAAAAAAAGAATAAGTTAATTCTTCAATAATTATTTACAACGTGATAGATTATCACAAGAGAGTGACTAGCGGATCTAATAAACAACAGTCTCGAACAATCGTAATGACTGGAGTCACTTATCAATCCGATAATTATCACAAGAACGACGAACGAATCCCGAAAGCGATAGATTCGGAATATCGCACTAAACTGAGTCAAATTATCACTCCGATAAATTGTCAACAAGAACGACGAACGAATCGCGATAACTATAGATTCGAATCGTCGTACGAAGTGGAGTCAAATTATCACTCCGAAAAAATTGTCAAAAAGAACGTTGAACGAATCGCGAAAACTATAGATTCGAATCGTCGCACGAAATGGAGTCAAATTATCACTCCGAAAAAATTGTCAAAAAGATCGTCGAACTAATCGCGAAACTATAGATTCGAATCGTCGCACGAAATGGAGAAATTATCACTCCGAAAAAAATTGTCAAAGAGATCGTCGAACGAATCGCGAAACTATAGGTTCGAATCGGCGCACGAAATGGAGAAATTATCAGTCCGAAAAAAATTGTCAAAGAGATCGTCGAACGAATCGCGAAACTATAGGTTCGAATCGGCGCACGAAATGGAGTCAAATTATCACTCCGAAAAATTGTCAAAAAAGAACGTCGAACGAATCGCATAAGAGATAGATTCGGAGTAACGCACTAAACGAAGTCAATTATCACTCCGATAAATTGTCAAAAAGAACGACGAACGAATCGCATAAACTATAGATTCGAACCGTCGGACGAAATGGAGTAAAATGATAACTCCGTTCGTATCACTAAATGTCACTGTTCAAGTCACTGTCCGCTAGAATCGAGATTAATCGCTTCTGTTCGCGATTTCACAGACACGTAGAGAAGGGCCACGTGGCAGTCTATCACGTATTACGACACGAATGTGCACATATAAGGGCGATAACTCGATTCGTCGCTCGTGCACTCGATAGTTTATGCACTTTAATTCACCGATTCACGGACCATCCGGCTCGAAGGACCATGTTCGCGAACTCAGTAAAATACTAAAGAGAGAGAGCGCGGGAATACCGGCGCACGTGGTCGGGAAAAAGATGGTGGTTTTACGCGGCGACAATAGACGAGGCGGGGAAATAAATCACTCGCGCTTCGTAACAGTCAATGGTCTTTTTTATTCCGCACAATCACAAATGTACACAACTAATTCGTCACGATAGACAGAAAATTAATATACGAGATATAATACGATGACTTGAACGACTTATTATTTGATACGTTACTGAGAGCGATACAGAACACGTGTACACTGACTCAAGGATTACTCCAGAATGCTTCCTTCTTCCTCGTCACTACGGAAGTGACGGGACGACCGCGCTAATCAGATATCGATCTAAACGGAAATCAATATGATTGCTATCAATCGATGCTCTGAGCGACGCCGCGATCTCAGAGATGGCGCGTGCATGTCGGTTCGCACGCTCGGCAACACACTCGCACGAACAGATACTGTAAACGCTGTTTTATTATATACTACATATCATCTGAAAATAAACTTAAGACAGCCTTAAATATAAAATCAAATTACGAATGTTCTCTTATATCAAAGAAACCAATATGATCTTAAGTTTTAAATTAGATTCATTCCTTAATCACTACTTGACTAAAATGTGATTTAAAAAATTAAATTTTATTTGTGAAGGAATAAAGTACCTTGTTGAAAATCTCGAATGACTTTTCTAGATGCAATTTCTTTATTAATTGTATCATCGTGAGTTTCTGTAGTCTTCGCTGTATTTTCAACATCTGAAAGTTCAGAGTCAGAATCATCATTACTATCACTTTCATTTATATCGGCTCCTTGTGCGGCTTCCAGATATTGAGATATTTCTAAGATTTCTTTTTCAATAACAGGTTGTCTATAGTGAGATAAATGAATTTTATCGGCATGGCCCATAAAATTTGCAAGCGTTGAAACTTCATTTTCAGATAGATTATAATGAACACAAATTGTTGCTATATGCTTCCGTAATTCAGTCGCACGAATAGTTTCTGGATTTTCTGCGCCACTATCTACTGCATATTGCCGTAATAAATCACACGCTAAAAGATATCGGTGTTTATCTTTTTGAAGCGAAGGAAGACCAAATAGGTATGGATTCTTCGAAGAAACTTTTGCAGCCTTTCTATGCTTTAAAATCATTTCGATGCAGTCTCTTAATTCTTCTGTTAGTAAGACTGGTACCGTTCGTCCAAGTTTACCTCTGAGGGTAAATCGCACATATCTTTTAGCAATTTCTTTGGCACGTGCTGAAAGCGCTTTATACATGTCGTTTGTCTGATAATTAATACCTTGATACGCCTTATAATCCTCGATTAACGTCCTTTGTATCTCTCCGGCTCTACGACGATTAAACACTTGTACTGAAGTCAATGTAGATTTCGTAAGCGAAAGCCATGCATCATAGCAGAACTTTTCTTTCAAAAAATTATAAGCTGTTTCACGTTCTTGTTTTAGAAAATTATGAAGCTTAATAATATCTGCTTTACAGGGTAACGTAATCTTTTTACGTCTTAGATTTCTAGTCATTGTTTCTGATATTGTTTTTGATATACGTGTTGCAAAATCTTCGGTAAATACTTTCAAAAAGTCTTCAGCACGTAACTTCCTTTCCTTGTCTTCTTTTCTAATACATCGATTGATTAAAAGTTTACCCACTTCTTTTAGTAAACCTCCAAGTCCAGAAGCCAGTGAAGGAGTTTTGAAAAATTTTCCACATAAAGATAAACCGGCTAACGTATTAATTGCTTCAATGCAAGTATTGCTGTATCGGGGGAAGTAAATGGAAGCAAAATCCGTAATATCAGAATTTTTACATTTTATTACTTGAAGCAGACGACCCATTCTTCTTAATTTTTGTCTAATCAATGTATCATTGTGTTCAGATGTTTTATATTTTTCGCACTGTTGATTACCAAATGCTATTATTAGTTCGTCGTAACGGATATTTCTTACTATATCATCTTCTCGTAAAAGTGGGAAAACTCGTAATCTTAGAGCATTGCTTGCCTCATTATGTATACGTCCTATTATTTGTCTTCCTAAAATTGATATTGATCTATTATCTTTAACTTTAATCATTTCTTTAATGCATCTTTGATAGTGATGTCTGCTTGTAACTTTTAGAATGAAAGCTTTACATTTTGGACATACGACGTATTCAGAAGGTATCCTGTTGTATTCTTTCTTTGAACGTCTTTCTACTAATAATTCACCATCATTTCGTGCACAATCGGTATTAAAATAGAAATCTCCACGTCTACGTATCGTTTCTAAGATCTTTCTTCGTTCTGCATTCCCTTTTGGCATGTGTTTAAATTTTTGAACTTCTAATTCATTCGCATGTACTCTCTCAAGATGACGAGCTATTTTGCTCTGAAACGTATTGCAATACATACAGAAATGCTTCTTGTTTCCTGCACCAACTGATGTAACAAACATTTCAGTGTCATCCCGAGCACATTTCCCAGATACGTTTAGTGACATTGATATGTCTAATCCACTAGAAGTATTTGCCGAACTGTTAGTTTCTTTAGCAAAAGAATTTCTTGTCTGATTCATCACAGGTTGAACGAAACTTTCATTAGACGAAGTGTTTGATGGTACGTAAGATGGATCCTCATCGCTAACATTTTCAATGTTGTCTTCCATAGTATTATTATCAAGACACGCTAAAAGAAGAGAAAAATATGCATGTTAAATAACAAAAAAAATTATAGATTTTTTAATACGTAAGAAATTATACAGAATGCTTCGTTAAAAAAGATTCACACAAATATTTCAGAAACTTTGTTATTTTAAAAAGTAATTTAAGTAAAAGTTATTTATTGTTGAAAGAGTCATCTGATGGTAATATTTATTTGATTTTGCATCAAAATCCAAATGTTATTTCAAGATGAACTTAATTTTTTAAATCACTGTAAATAATTTTATATCGATTCCTTCTAATATTTGGAATAAAAGTTGAAGGATAATGTGATCAAAAAGTGAATAATTTGAGATATGTTGTACTTTAATATGACAATTTCACATAAACTATAAGTTCTCGTAAACTATTAACTTTTTGGTCATCTTACTCTCATAAATTTTTATACCTAATATTGCAAAAACTTAATTTATATAAAAAAATAATAGTGAAGTCCGTTTAAAAAAATTAAGTTGACCTTGAACTAAACTTCTGGATTTTGATCTAAAGTCAAATAAAGATCATCAAACGAGTTCCTTAACATCAAATAACTTTCACTCGAAATATTTTTTAAGATAAAGCAAATAAGTTTCTGATATATTTCTGTATATCTTTTAAAATGGGTTACTCAGTATGATTCATATAGTTAACGAGATGCTAGACGCCAGTATAATTGCTTTTCTAATTTACTCTTTATTTATTATTGGTTAAACATACCATTAGAGGAGGTGAATAGTTTTCAATGTGAAAATATAAATGCAAATGAATGGAAGGCTATCTAATATTATAAAACTCAACAAGAGTTTTCATGTAACTTTGGGCAGTCTTCCATTCATTAGCGTTTGTATTTTTAGTGTTAAAAAACCAGAGTAACTTTAAAAGCAGTTATTTCTGAGTTAGCATCCCTTTAAAGTTTCAAGATATTTACTATAACCGTCCTCGTTTGATGACGTCAGAAACGAGAAATCGCATTCAAAAGTATTGCAGTATATATATCTAATAAATAAAAAATATATATAGAAATAAAAGGATATATCCATAAACATTTGCAATCGATTTAGCAATTTGTGAAATGTTCTTATGAGTATCTTTTTTGCTGTGTTAGTCAATAAAAAATTGTAAAATTAATGTAACATCAAAATCATGCAAAAAGATCAAACATAACTTTCACCTGTTGTTATTTATTGATTCTTATAGCAAAAATTACATCTTACAGTAATGAAAGTTTTTGGAGCATTTTATAAATTCATTGAGTTGATCACATATCGTATTACGGATATACTTTTTTATGTCAATGTATACAGTAAGAAGTTCCAGCATGTAATTTCTTGCTTCTGACGTCATCAAAAAATAAAGAAGCCTTAATTACCAATTAAATATATGTATACATAAGCATTTTAATTATATTAAAAGAAGATAATTTATAAATGAAATATACTTATATTAAAACAACAAAATTTGTTGAAAATATTGAATAAATATAACAAGATCGTATCTTCTTTAAAATTAAACAGGTGCAGACAGATTCTAAGCAAAGTCTGTTATAAATTTTTGATGTCAAAATGGTAACTTTAACATAAGATCAGGTTCTATCTGACGATTTTGCAAAACTGTTGCCAAAAATCTGACATAGCCAGCTGACATTTTAAGTGCAAATCAAGCAAATAGTTATAAAAAATATATTTTTTTTCTAACCTTCATTGAGATTTCCATCGTCATCCTGAATGCCTATATCTGATATGTTTAATGATGTAGATGACATGTTATATTCTTTAGTAACATACTTTGTTGTCTCATCTACAGATTGAATAAAATTTTCTTCTGTGTTTGATACATAAGGTGGATTCTTATCATAAATATTTTTTGAAATGTCTTGTATAATATTATTATTATTGAGGTATGCTAAAAAGAGTAAAGAATAAGGATTAAATATCACAAAAATTATACATTTGATTTTAATATATTAAAAAATTGATATTAATATATAAAAAAATTATATTATTTACATCAATAATTAATAACACAAGTTGACAATTAAAATTTTTTTTGGACTATCTCAAATAAGCAGGATATCTTAAAAGATTTTTGCACGATGAAATCAAATTCAAATTCGTCTATTAGACGTAACACTTTTGACTAAATTTCGTCGAAGGTTTCAATGATTTTGAGATAATTTATAACATTATAAATAATAACAAATAATTTTTAGCGCTCTGCTATGTTAAATAACAAATTTAAAAGATAGTAATCGGCGACACAGAGCAACCGCGGATGTCAGTGCGCGAAGACCGCGAAAATTTTGATTTTTCGCTGTCTTATACCTGTGCACAAGGCACGAAATTTCTTAGCAATATATCGAAGAATTATTTAGGAACAATCTCTTGGTTTTTGAGATCTTAATTCCTACGTTCTTTTTACCCCCCTAGAGAGATGTAGACGAAAAAAATATATCGGTCCGAAAAAGTCGCTGAATCGGGACATTATAAATAATACTTTTGCGTGTGGCATTGATAAAATTAAAAAAACTTCTCTTTTAACGAAATTAATAAATTCGGTTTCAGCGCGCAAATATCCTTCAGGTTTACTATATCCAGTACGAGATAGTACGAATAAAATAAAATTTGTTGGCTTGTGTAACCAAATACATAAAAATTTAAGTTATATTGAAAAAGATTTAATAAATCAGTTATTTTTTATATTTAAATTTAAATAACAGAATAAATTATACAAGATCGCATCTTGTATATTTTCTGCTTTTACATTATGTGTTATTGCAATTTAATATAAATAAGAAGTCAAGAACGATGGAAAATTACTTTGATAGATTGATGATCAGATGTATCATGTATTTTTCGTCCTCTGTTGAAATTGGTTTTCTTTGAGATATATAGCTTACTTAAACAACATAGAATTAAAGAGAAATTTAGAATTTGCAAAATATCTAAAATAATTATTTTATATAGTACACATCTGCATCGTGCATGGAATGTATAACAAAATATATTATATATGTTATATATGTTAAAACTTAAATCAAGTATAAAATTCTTAGGTGTACAATAAAAGAAATATAAAGAGATAATTATATTTACCAAATATTTAGAGATGTATTTTACATACAAGTAATAATAGCTATTATAATTATATTTTAAATATAGAGTGAGTGAGCAGTTTTTTAAAACATAATGTGTATATTTGTACAAGAAAATTATAATTATTTTGAAACAATAACATACCTGTAGTGGAAACAGGTGCACTTATTTCAGAATGTTTAGAAATTTTATCTTCTACAATGGTGGGTTCAAATAAGTCGCAATCTTTATATACTTCCAATACATTGCCATGCCAGTTACATGAACATTTATCTAAAATTATATATATCATATACAATTCATATTAAAAGATAAAAGTAAAGATATAAATATACTGTTAATCTATAAGTAAAGAAATAAACATATTGTTATATAACAAAAGGATCCACTACAGCTAAGTATAACTTTTTACAAAAGAAAAACTATATAAAAAATTACGTAGAGAAACTAAAACAGAGTTTATTTTTACAAAGATCTAAATATCTAAATCAATCAAGTCCAATGCAAAATGGTATGGATGTTCTGACATTAACATTCACCAATAATCTTTAGATGTATTTTTTGAAATAGTACAGTCAATTAAGCGGTAGGAAACAGACCCATAGATATCTATTTCATTTTAAGAGCAGGCTGAATAACTCAGTGCAGTTTAAAAATAATTTTGTTGTTTATTACATACCTTCATCGAGATTTCTTACTTCATCCTGGATATCTATGTCTGATATATTTACTGACGTTGATATGTCAGATATATTTAATGACGTTACTATGTCTGATGTATTCAATATTGATAATAGACTAGAAATATTTGCTGAGCTATTAGTTTGTTTAGCAACAGAACTTGTTGTCTGATCTATCACAGGTTCAACAAAATTTTCACTACATGATTTATTTGATGATACATAAGATGGATCCTCATTGTAAACATTTTTTTCAATTTTCTCTCCTATAGTATTACTATTAAAAATTCCTAAAAAAGGAAAAAATGCACATAAAATATGACAAACATTATAGATTTTGACAAACATTATAGAATCTTATAGATTTTGTGCTAATAAGTCAAAAAAGTACGACATTTATTCGTGTAATTAAGTAATTAATTAAATACATTATTTCAATTAAATTAAGAATTAAAAATTTTATTTAAATACAGATAATTAGTAATCTAATTTGCATGCAGTTATAGAAATTAAATTTCTTTTGTAACCTTCATTGAGATTTCCATTGTTATCTTGGACATTTTTGTCTGGTACATTTATTGACATTGATATATGTAATCGATTAGAAGTATTTGTTGAATTATTAGTTTGTTTAGGAACAGAATTTGTTGCCTGATCTATCACAGGTTCAACAAAATTGTTATTTGATGAATTATTTGATGATTCATAAGATGGATCCTCATCGCAAACATTTTCACTACTGTCTTCCATAGTATTACTATCAAGACATGCTAAGAAAGAAAAAAATAGTTATGAATATAAATATGAAGATAGATATCTCACAAAACTATAAATTTTGTTCTAATAAGTAAGAAAATATGACCACATTATTCGTATCATAAATTATTACAATAATTAAATATATTAGCATTTCAATTAAATAAAGAAATATTAAACATATATACATATATATAATATAAACTAACTATGACATAACTATGACTAACTATGGCATAAGAAATATTAAGAAACGTCGTGAAAATTAAAAGTTTATTGGATGTTTGGTCGATTATTTGATATTCCTTATTTTATTGACTAGCAATTGCGAATATTTATAAAATATTAAGTTATTTAAATATGGCTGCTTTTGCGAGAGAATGATCATGATCAACTGCAGCGCAGGATTAAAATAAATCCAGATTAAATTGATCAATTGCAGCGCAGGATTATTTTAATCTGTATTTTAAATCTATCGCAAAAGCAGCCACGATGATTAATAATAATAATTTGTAGTAATATAAAATAAACTATACAAATTATTTATTCAAATAAATTCCACCTTACCTTCTTGATTCTGGATTTGAAGCAAGTTTTGTTTTTTGTGCACATTGGGCAAAGTAACACGTTGTAATATAATTTTAGGTACACACAGGTTAGTTAAAGAATGCTTAATATCATTAAGTACAGTAATATTTTCTGTAATAAACAATAGAATATTAAAATATTAATAAAAGATTTTCAAATAATAATAAATTAATGATTGAGAGAGAGAGAAGAGAGAGAGAGAGAGAGAGAGAGAGAGAGAGAGAGAGATACGACAAATCAAATAGTTTATTTGGCTATTTCTAATCTCTTTTATGATATATATAGGATACATATACTTACTATGTTGTGCTATGATCCGACAAGTATACTTGACATTTTTATATTTTGCCACACATTCATTTTTATTTTTTTTAACGTTTTCTGATTTACAAATATGATAGATCCCATCATTGAATAATACGAGAGCAAACATTGTGTATGTTTCTTAATACATAGTACGATACATGTGGCAATATCTATATATTCCTTTTCCTCCTTTTTTATAAGCACCTATTTTTTATATTGTAATAAATGGTATTGAAAGTATTGCACATTGTTATAAAACATTTACTAATGTGATAAAGAAGTGTATATGAAAAAAAGAATAAAAAAGAATGTAGATATTTCCGCGTGTACTATATTTATGTATTAAGAAACACACGCAATGCTTTTTCTATTTGTTTTATAACAATACTCAAAATAATTGTAAATTAATTACCACTTCAGATACAAAAATTTATTGAAATCGTTATCTAATTATTAGATTACCTTCATATAATTTTAAACAAACACTAAATGACCGTTACCACCGACGATGAGATCTCTTGTCTCTCGTCGGTGCCGTTACTAATTTGTTATTAAGGTCCGGTTTTCATAGACCGATCTCAGAACCTATGTGAACTTGGCATCCAATTTTAAGACTCGTATTCATAATCCGTTCTTATATTTAAGATCGTCTTAAGACATCGTTCAACCAATCAAGAGATGCTATGCGGCCATTTGATTGGTTGAACGAGGTCTTAAGACGATCTTAAATATAAGAACGGACTATGAATACGGGCCTAAGAAAATGTATTTTTTAGAAATGCATTCGATTAAGGATGTGTAGGAGATACAATCGGAGACAAAAGCACCAACACTATTCATCTTATAGAAAATCTGTACATGTTATAAGAAATTGCTATAGTTTAATTGCCTAAGTTTAGTTTTTAGCTGTTTCCAGCGTTGACATAACGAAATGCTCAGAAATCGGAGAAAAAGCCAGAATGTCAACAAATTATTATTATTTTGTTCTAAATAATTTAGTAAATCCTATTAAAATTTTGCAACATTATCCCTTAAAAATCCAATTATACATGTAAAAAATTTTGAAATACATGGTATCATTTTTTCCATATTTTTGACGTAATTTAATAGATCCTAATAATGATTTTTTATAAGATATGTAAAATTAGCAAAAATTTAAATTACAATAACTTTTAAATGAGTTAGTAAATTAAATTCAAATTTTAACAGTAGCTTTAGTATTAAAGTGGAAACGATTTATATATTTATTTATATTTTGATGAATTTTGTTCCATTTTTAAATGTCTCCTATACATCCTTATAAGCATTGTTTGCACTTGTTTGTACCGTCTTTGATTTCGTTTGTACCCGAAAATATTGCAAGTTATAAGAGTTAAAAAAATCGTCAGCATCTCATTTTGAGATATTGTAATTTTTTTAATGCAGGTTGATTCAGCATTATTTGTGCCCGTTTGTATTGCGTTTCGTTTTTCTCACCCCATGGGGGTGAAAGTACCAAATTTTCTTCCATAACCATAGCATAAAATTAGCGTAGACCCTGCGGACAATAGGCAAAATATTAGAAATAAATATTAAATATTAGGAATAAGAATTATTTTTAATATTAGGAATAAGAATTATTTTAGAATAATAAAATCGAAAAGACGGATATAAAAATACAAATTCGGGTATAAAGGACTTTTATTAGCTTATATAGCTCTTTTACTAGTCCTTTATATTTGAATTTGTATTTTTATATCATTCTTTTCGATTTTTTACTCCACAATATTTCTTATTCTTAATATTTAATATTTATTCTTAATATTTTGTTTATTGTGCGCAGGGCTTAATCTAATTTTATGCTATGGTCCTGGTAAAATACGTTGCATTAAAAAATTACTAAAATACGCGGACCGTATATTAAAGGGACACGAAATTATACATGGTTCCGATAAAATACAATGCATTCGTATCGGTTTTATCTGGACTGTCCTGATAAATTACTGAACATAAAAATATTATCAAGACCGTCCAGCTAAGAGCCGAAGGTCCCGCTAGAATACGTTTCAATCAAAAAATGGCCCAGCTAAACTACGTAACACAAACATATATATATATATATATATATATATATATATTGTAACGAAGCACCTTTCCCGACGCCACGGATCGGCTCGCCGGTGCCAGGATTCGGGAAGAGGGGAGACTCAGATTTACAATGACACACGGTTGCTCTGGTAAAAGTAGAGTTTATTCGGGGCCACCTTCCTGTGGTTCTCCCGTGATTCAAACCATTATACACAGCACAGTATAATCGGACGAAACGCGACCAGATGATACGGACGCGTACACGACTTATTGCTAGGATTGACAGATAGAAATATTACGGACGAGACGCGACCAGATTATACGGACGCGGACACGACTTATTGCTAGGATTGACGGATAGAAATATTACGGACGAGACGCGACCAGATTATACGGACGCGGACACGACTTATTGCTAGGATTGACGGATAGAAATATTACGGACGAGACGCGACCAGATTATACGGACGCGGACACGACTTATTGCTAGAGTTTCCAACGCGGACACGCGTACGGGCGCCCTGAGAAGGGCGAGCTCCGTCGGGCGCCGGTGACTTTCAGGTAGGACCCGGTGACCGAGGACGCTCGGCCTGCACGACGAGAACGCTCGTCGGCCGGGGTGATTTACGGACAGGACCCGGTGACCGAGGACGCTCGGCCTGCACGACGAGAACGCTCGTCGGCCGGGGTGATTTACGGACAGGACCCGGTGACCGAGGACGCTCGGCCTGCACGACGAGAACGCTCGTCGGCCGGGGTGATTTACGGACAGGACCCGGTGACCGAGGACGCTCGGCCTGCACGACGAGAACGCTCGTCGGCCGGGGTGATTTACGGACAGGACCCGGTGACCGAGGACGCTCGGCCTGCACGACGAGAACGCTCGTCGGCCGGGGTGTTTTACGGACAGGACCCGGTGACCGAGGACGCTCGGCCTGCACGACGAGAACGCTCGTCGGCCGGGGTGATTTATGGACAGGACCCGGTGACCGAGAACGCTCGTCGGCCGGGGTGATTTACGGACAGGACCCGGTGACCGAGGACGCTCGGCCTGCACGACGAGAACGCTCGTCGGCCGGGTGATTTGGAGTGTGGGAGTTGAGGAGTGATCCCTGAGTACGCTCGAGGGACCAGGACGGGACTGGTGCCGAAGTCTCGGCTGCGCCGCTCTTTATACCCGTCGGCCACCCCACTCTAAGACTAGCTTGGAGGGGGCCGAGTGACGGGTGGGGGCGAAAAGGCGGATTCCCAACGTGTTTGTGTGGTGGCCCCGAAAGGGGCCGTTTACATGAGCGCGGGCGACTAGTGACGGCTAATCGGGTCGTCACATCACCCTCCTTTTTAGGGGGGGGTGGCTATTCGACGGATCGTTCGCGGTCTTCCTCGTCGGTCGAATCTGATGATCCACCGGCCCGTCGGGGTGCGTACCTTATACCGCCGTGAGATGGTGGCGGCGTGGTACGGTATGTCGACGGTTTGGCCGTCCCCCAGAGTGACCTGGATGGGTCGTGGCGGTCCCGGGCGTGGTGCTGGCACTGGTGGGGCCTGGCCGGTTGGAGGTCGGCGTGGTGTCGGTTGGGGTGGCTCCCTGGCTGGTGGCGCGACAAGGGATCGCGCCTGTTGGCCTGTGTTGGCGCGATGCGCTGGCTGGTCCGCTTCGTCAGGCGTCGCTGACTGGCGCGTGGTGGCTGGCGGTGCGGCAGCGGATGGCGTGTGTCGGCGGGTGCCGGTTGAGGGAACCGATCGGTTCGCGGATGGTCGAGCGGGCTGGCGTGCGCTGGCCGGTGTCGTCGTGGGCCTGGTGACGCCGGCGACGGTGGAGGCCGGGGAGTCGGAGAGGACCGGTGGTCGTCGATGCCGGGTGTTCACCGGGATAGGTCGGCGTCTACCCGGGGGAGGCGGAGGTGCCTCCAAGAGCACCAAGTTCCGACGTCGCTGCTCGGCGTCGGACCGCTGGATGCGGGTCCCTATTCCCGGTACTGGCCGGGTGGTTCGCCCGGAAACGGGCGGATTTCGTCCGGAAACGGACGGATTTTCTTTCGAGCGCTGGTTTGCTTCTTCGTTTGGTGTTTCCATCGTGACGGGATGAGTTCCGACCCAAGGGTGCCCGTTCTTTATACCCCTCGGTGATCTGGACGCGGACCATGAAGAGTGCCGCTCCCGGTGCGGGACCGGGTGGCAAAGCGCGGACCATGAAGAGTGCCGCTCCCGGCAAAAATTGGTGATAGGGCGCGGACCATGAAGAGTGCCGCTCTCGGTTCGGGACCGGGTGGCAAAGCGCGGACCATGAAGAATGTCGTTCCCGGTATTCGGCCAAAGATTTTCGACAAGACGCGGACCATGAAGAGTGCCGCTCCACGTATTTTGATTCGAAACCGCGAACATGCCTAACGGTTGACCGGCGGCGTTAATCGGCGCGCGTTGCTCGGGTATCGGACTAGGGTTCGGTCGCAGGACGCGGTTCGGAGGCGGATTTCAAGTCCCTCACGTGGACGTGCCGATGCCATCGACCTCGGTCGTCCTTCAGGTCCACGATGACGGGGGAGATGATGCGTCTGATCGTCAACGGGCCACCAAATCTTGGTGCTAGTTTGGCATTAAAGCCGCGCTCTTTGTTCGATAACGGGTGCTCCTTTTTCCATACTCGGTCTCCAACTTGTGGACGCCAGTCGCGTCGACGTAAATCGTAGTTTCGCTGTTGATGTTGGAAGGCGCGGGCCAGGTTGATTCTGACAATTTCGTAGGCGTCTTCGAGTCGACGTCGAACTGTTTCAGGAGCGTTGCTGGTGGTTGCCGGGCGGCGGTCGTCGGGATGCGGTGATTGTAACTCCCGGCCGTACATCAGAAAGGCCGGGGTGTATCCCGTGGATTCTTGTCGTGCGGTATTGAAAGCGAACTGGAGCTGGGGAATGTGTTCATCCCAACGGCGATGTCGGCCTTCCACATATTGCGCCACCATGGTCTTTATGGTGCGGTTGGCTCGCTCGACCGGGTTGCACTGCGGTGCGTAGGCGGGGGCGGTTCTATGCTTGATCCCGAAGGATCGTAGTAATCCCTCGAGCTGGTGCGATCTCAACTGAGTCCCGTTATCAGAGACGATGGTGTCCGGGCAGCCGTGACGATATATAATACGTCCAGCTACTTCTCGTGTGACGTTGGCGGCGGTGGCTTGGCGGAGCGGCGTCATCTCTATCCATTTGGAGAATCGATCCTGCATGGTCAGCAGCCAGGTATGGCCACTGGTCGATCGTGGTAATGGTCCGACCAGATCAATGGAGACCTGTTGCCACGGGTGCGTGACGTTGGTGGCTCGAAGTTTCCCGGCCGGCAAGGTTTGTGCGGCCTTGTGGGTGGCGCAGTTTCGGCAGTCACGGACGTATCGAGTGACGTCGCGGAACATTCCTGGCCAATAATATAAGCGCGCTACTCGTGCGATGGTCTTCGCAATGCCAAAGTGTCCG